TGCACCAATAGTAATCTCTTACTCTGTCATATCTCTGTATCGGGATGGATGGATGGAATGGTGTATGTATGTATGGATGAGTGGTTGGGTGGGTGGTTGGATGGAAGCATGTATGTGTGCATGTATGTATGTATGCATGCATGGGCAGGTGGTTGTATGGATTGATGAATGTATGGACGTATGTGTGGATGGGCGGGTAGTTGGATGGATGGACGGAGGGATGTATGTATGGATGGGTGGGTGGTTGGATGGATGGATTGATGGATGGATGGACGTATGTGGGGATGGGCATGTAGTTGGATGGATGGAGGGATGTATGTATGCATGGATTAGCGGGTGGTTGGATGGATTGATGGATGGACGGATGGATGAACGTATGTCTGGATGGACTGGTAGTTGGATGGATGGATGAATGGAGGGATGTATGGATGTGCAGGTGGTTGGATGGATTGATTGATGAATGAACAGATGGATGTATGTGTGGATGGGCGAGTAGTTGGATGTATAGATTGATGGATGGAGGGATGTATGTATGGATGTGCGAGTGGTTGGATGGATGGATGTGTATATGTATGTATGCATGAGTGGGTAGTTGGGTGGATGAATGGATGAGTGAGTGGATGAGTAGATGGATGGATGGATGAATGGATGAGTGGGTGGATGGATGGATGGATGAATGGATGAGTGGGTGGATGGACGGATGGGTGGATTGAAGGACGGTTAGATGGGTTGATGGATGAATGGATAAGTGGGTGGATGGACGGACAGAAAGACAGATACATTTTCATATAATGTGTCAGTATGTGCGCAGATGGAGAAATTGAAATAGATATACATGTGAATTCACTGAGAAGGAATGATTCAAGGGCAGTGTGTGGGAGTGAAGTCATGTTTAAATCTTGCTTTTTAAATTCAAGCAAAAAAATCAGGATGATAACCCATGACAAGTATTTAACACGATTAACAGCGGTACATTTCTGACAGAACTTGGGACATTCTTATCAGACTCAGGGTGAAACACATGTCTTCAGGATGGAGGGAAACTATGAAGTTTGTTTATTAGCAAATAATGTATTAGCAAGTATTTTCCAATATAACTGAGCACGATTCAACAATTACCGACAATGAACTTCAATAAAGTTTGAATTGCCAGTCAAGATTTAAGCCTAAAGTGAAAACACAGTTGTCCATTCATCTACTACTGGTTAAAAATGGGAAATTCAGCTTGAATTCCTAATAAGTCACACTTTATAATAATATTGGGTATCCCTGTTAAATGTTTCTTCTTTAATATGGGTTACAGTGGCACTGTTACCTGACGCTTTCTTTAAATTAATCAGTTTCAAACAATGTTCTTCGGAATAATTATTTTATTTTCATCTCATAAAACTGTAAGGAATAAATCTGTCCTTACAATGTCAAAATATAATTTTCCAGTGTGGAGGTGACCATCTTGACGTAACGCTGCAAATTCTAAAACCTCCTTGAGGGGCGCAGATACAGTTACTGATAAAAAGAACGATTTACGGTTGAAACGTTTGCTGCCAACACCTAATTAAAACTTGCTATTTCCTTAATTGAGCTAATTAGTGTCCCAGCATTCCAATGTGCAGAGAAGTCGAAACACAAACTGTGTTTGTGTTAAATCAGCGTTTATTAAGTAACGGTATATAATCACAAATAGCACAATAAATATGGCATAATCCTCCAATATGGGAAAGTCACATAAACAATTGTCAGTATATAAACACAATTGTAGTAGACTCACATAGCTCCAGCTTTCACATTCTAAATCAACATAGGGACTGTACACAGATTCCAAACATGGCTCATTAGGGGTAGATTATATCAATCAGAAAATGGATCCAAGGCAAGTTATTCTTTGCACTTTTTTGTTACTCTGAAGTGGTTATGGGACTATTGTTCTAACATACTTTGCACTGTTTTATGCCCTTTTATTCAGTTAAATCTGTTTAATCTATTACTGTATTGCATGAATAAAAACATTTTTTATGTGCAAATTCTGGCATGCCTTGGGTCCATTTTCTATTTGTATATATATCCGGTGGGGGAACGTATTTTTCCCTTAGGAGGACCCAGTACACTTTTTACCACATTACTTATCACCCACCCAATTGAGCTTTTCCTGTAATCATATATGTAGATTATATCAATGTCATAGCTCTAATCCATCTTTGAGAGCGGCAAGGAACATGTGATAGTAGGCTTAGCATAACTCCACCCAGCTTCCATCATTGCAAGTCAAGAGAAGAGCTTGGCTCAAAATCTGATATGGTCTGGGGGGATCCTGTCACCTTATGCAGGCTTTTTAGTCAGGCAATGGACGCATATAAAGTCACGATCTGTTCTGATTGTAGCTTCTTTAGGCAGGAACTCCTATAAAGTTTCCTCTCGCGACTGTCTGACTCCCAAACTGTCATCAGCGGGTCCACCAAGATTGATTTGTTTAAATGTCAAGAGCATTGCAGCAGGCGGATCTGATACCCAGTGGGCAATGGTCCGACCAGGTCATGGGGTATATGTCTGACGATTGTAATACTGGAAGGTCGTAGTGGCGTATACACACAAATTAATTAATTCATGTGTAGGACACAGGTAATCGAGTAGTAATTTTAATCATGGTCATCAGGGTGTGAGCTCTCCAGCAATCCCCCAATTGATATTTATGTAATAGGGACACCAGCCTGGCTGTTAGACATGTCTAAGTGTTTGTGTCCAGAGGTATCCTGACGAGGATGTGGAGGCACATTGAGATCTCCGCCAAGCCCATGTGTACCTTCCCTGAATGAAATAAGGGCCCTCAGTGGAAAAAGGAACCGAGAAGCATAAGGTACATATATGGTAGCCAATGTGCACATCGTGTCCAAAAGCAGACCCTTAGTAAATAGATATCTACCTTTCCCATCCCTCAATTTCATGTTCTGTATATGTCAGTTTTCTTGGGTAATCCCTATTATGGAGTGCTGGTGCTGCGTCCCTTTGAAGTGGATCTCCTGACATAAAGCAGAAGGTGCCAGCCAGCTGGTCGGCACATATTTTACGTATATTCAAGCCTCTGGCATTGTTAGAGATCAACTTCAGATCTGCTGTCTTGAAGGAGGGTCTTCTTCTCCTGCTGACCCTCAATTTTCGCCATCACCCACATCCATTGCTTGGGGAGAGTGATGGACAAGCAAAAAGGAGGGTGGGGAAGTGGGGAGAGTGATAGCATATGGGGACCAAGAGCAGATAAGTAGAAGGGAAGTCAAAAAAAGCAAAGAGGAGTGAGACAAGTGTTGCATGAAAATTTTTTTATTGGAGTTTACACACTGTCAGGAGCCCCATCTCCAGGACACAGCACTTGACTGTTACCTACTCGCAGGATCCAGAAATACTCCACGGTCCACCTCCAAAGAGGGTTACGGTCTAATCTCCTGGGAGAAAGAAAAAATATCATACGGGCCAGCTCATGTAATGTAGAGAAGAGTTAGTCTGTGTTGGACAAGCGGGGCCACATCCTACATCACTCAGTCACCCTCGAAGGTACCTATAACAGTAAGCAGAGTTATCAGGACTATTAATCTGTAACAGTGTAACACCCCTGTGTGTTATCTCACTCAAAATGTGAATAATTAAGGATATATATTCCAGGTATCCAGCATTCTACAAACTCAAACATATTCTACCAATTAACTTAACAAATGTAATTATATATTTCATACCATGCCCTAGGCAAACCTCAACCTAAACAGTCCCCAATCCCAAACCTCGCACTCTCAGGTTAGAGCACCTGCCTCTATTATCCAGGTCATCCATTCATGTCAAAAGGTGAGTTAAGGCAGTGTTATGGAGAGTTGTAGCATCCTTAGCCTAACATGCTATAGTAGAGGCACCTTGTATCGTTCATTCAGCCTGGGAAACATGTGCCTCCAATTTCTGTACAGATAAGGCCAGAGATATGTTCCAACATGTTGGAGACATCTTCTTTGGTTATCCTTTGGATAATGAGGATATAATTGCATCCCAGTTGGATTACCCTGGATCCCCTCCAACCAGAGAGTGTGGGGGACAACAGCTCATGTAGCTGGAGGAGGTACCACTAGGGTTGTGCGCCATATTGGAGTCAGTCGTTTGGGACTGCAATGGATGCCATAGATCTTGTCTGAGAGGTGCCTTCAGTGATCAGGGCAGGTTGAAGATTGCAGTTTTTGCCCATGTTGTTTATAATTATAGCGGCAAATACAAATTAGAGCTGACTTTCCCAGAGCCAGTGATCAGTGGTCAAATTGTGTTTGAACTACTTGTAAAAACCAGATGCCTACTCGGCCCAGTTAATAACTTGTATTAACTTTTTTTTATGCAATGCTCTGTTCTGTTTGACATCAGCCCAATCCTGGCACAGCCAGGGCACACTATGCATAGAAGAAGGAGTAAGAGATACATTGTCTCTGTTCTTCATCCTCTTTCTGTGCTCTCTCTATGCTCAATGGGGATAAGTAAACATAATATTAAAAACCCTGGGATGTGACGGTTTCTCTTTAAATAGAAAATATCTGCTGAATAAATATTAGAAAGTAGATGAAAACCAACATGTTTAAACTCTAAACAGAATCTGTCGAGAATCCACAAGGGAATGGGCAAATAGTCAATATGAAAAAAAAGCTGATTTAGAGAATTTTCTAATTCAATTATATTGACATACAATGTGTAATTCCCTTGTTAATTCTCCAGCATTTGTAGTTTTGTTAATAAACCATGCAGTCTCAGCAATTTTAACATACCATACAATATTTTAAGGAACAATGTTGTTATTTGTTTCATATATTGTGTTTCCTTTCTTCCACTTTCATGTAGTGTCTTACTGGTGGCCTGAAGCTCGGCCTCGGCTGTGAGATCAACATGAAAAGTTCCAGTCGCAGCCCAACATGGGATACAAAGGTGATACTTCTTTCTTGTAACTAACAGAACCCTCAAAACTCACCTCTGAACTTCCTAGCATCATGGAGAACAACAGTAAATTTGACAGTCCCACCAATATCTCCTTAGCCAACAATGACTTGGTTTACAGCATGGTCGAGTATAAAGTCATCTCAGTGTTCCTGGTCTTGTTGATCTGTGGGATTGGTATTATCGGAAACATTATGGTAGTTCTGGTGGTGTTCATCACACGAGACATGAGGACACCTACCAATTGTTACCTGGTCAGCCTGGCCGTGGCAGACTTAATGGTGTTGGTGGCGGCTGGATTACCCAATGTCTCTGACAGCTTGGCTGGCACATGGATTTATGGTCACGCAGGCTGTTTGGGCATAACATACTTCCAGTATTTAGGAATCAACGCTTCCTCGTGCTCGATCACTGCTTTCACAGTGGAAAGGTAAGACAGGCCAAAAGTCCTCTGAGAAGTGACTGAAAATATATTACATTATGGCAGAAACAATGCTCTCCAAACGTGCGCTGAAGGCAAATAACGTATTTCATGAGGACGATTGTGTGCATTACAGAGGCATTAACCTTTGATTTTGTATTTATCGCTTCATTACATTTCTCTCTATGTACTGGATGATGTACTTAGCTAGTTACAGCCGTGCTATTGCGAAGAATTCACATTCAGTGTTTTCTCTGTTTTAAACTAATATTGTTTGCTACATTATGTATCTCAGCATCTTCACCTGCTGGAGATAATAGATATAGCTCACAGAATGTTCCCTATCTTTCTCCTTTTATCTCCGTTCTATCCTTTGTGTTCTCCGTTCTGTTTTCCAAATCTTTCTTTCTTTTCTTCCCTCTGTCTTTCTCTTCCTCACCTTTTTTTCCTATTTCAATAAAAGAACACCAATGGGTGTATTTAGCACTAATTATTTAATGTATTATAAAGATGTCACAGTTATCTCAGCTAGTCCTGCCCATCTCATTACTGTCAGTGTTAAATAAACGTGATTGAAAATTGGCAGTGATTCCCCTCAGTTGCACAAGTTATACTCATTTAGTTTGTTGATGAATGAGACATCACAAGTAGATCTACTGAAGCAAGGAGTAACTACCTTTATTGTGACTTTTGTATATTTCCCACGAACCTCTGTTGTGCATTCTTTCACAAGCACAAGGAAGACAGGGGCATCGCTAGGTGGGGGGGTGGGAAGGTGAACACTGGCTGGAGCCCCAAGTGAGATCCTGAAACTCTCGGGCCTTATTATGTCTCCAAGTCCTTGCTATCTTTAATGCACCATGTTTGGAGTTAATTATACAGCTCAGAGGGGGTAGGGCAGGCGTGCCCATAAAGTAGATCCCCATATACTGCTGAACTCCCCCAATGCTTCGTCATTTTAAAGGCATGCAAAGCATTATAGGAGTTGTAGTTCTAAAACATCTGCGGATCTACCTTTTGGGCACCCCTGGGGTAGGGTGTTAATGCTTTGGTGAAAGGGTTAATAACAGAATGGCTTGAGGTTAACACAGCACATGTGGTGTATATAGATCCATGTTATACTCTGATACATTGTGCTGTATAGAACACATTAGGGTTTAGGATTTGGACTTGGGACATGGTTTATTTTAGGAGGGGCCATAAATATATATACCCTTGGGTAGAAGCCCATGGTATTTTTTTGCCACTTAGCAACCTATGTTCCTGGCATGAGGTTTTTATCATATTTTGCAAACAATTATATAATATTTATATAACACCAACACAAAATACCTTGTGTGAAACATAATTAGATGGATCATGTCAATCAAATATACACCTCGAAGTGTCCCTCTAAATGCAGTTTGGTACCTAAACTATGATGTAAATAAATGTATCTGTGGATCTTGTATATTGTATGGACACGATTACTGGTAAATTCAAACATTATGAAAATAAAAGGAATTTCATCTAGCCCCTCGCAAAATATGCTACAGAGGAAAATTATTTGCGCACAGCAGCGAGTATTGCTTCTACTAAATGTCATTTATTAAAGTTTTTCTTGACATGCATTAGTCCATAATTCACCCAGCTCAATGTGTAGGTAAAGAAAGGGGTTTGTTGGCTAAATAGCGAGTCATGATGAGCAGACAAGCATATTTCAAAATGTAGGATCAAAGTTATAGGTGGTTTTCAATGTGGAATTTCAATAGTGTATTTTTCAGAGATATGACAGTTCCATTTTAATGGACAGTACCTTCGTATGTTCTAAATGAGGTAACTTTCAAAATATTACCACGTAGACAAAACAAAACAAAAGCATAGCCTATAGGTAGTTAGACTTGAGCAAAGGTTTGTTTCGCACGATTTGTCCAAATTCAAATATCTTTTAATCCCCACCTTAACGAGTCTATTGCCCAGGATCTACCTGTGGAGTCTTATTTTTTTAATTCAACGATTAAAACTCCACTTGTAAATCTCACACTATCATCTCATCTGCGTGTGGATTAAAAAACATTTGATTCTGATGAACCGTCTGAAACAGACTTTTGCACAAGTCTAATAGTTATCATAAGTACACTCGGTTAGTAAATATTTTTTATATCTGACAGATACATTTATCGATTATCCCTGATCTCTGTTTACCTGCGTTTATTCTCTAGGTACATTGCTATTTGCCACCCAATGAGGGCACAGACCGTTTGCACTGTGTCGCGGGCTAAACGTATCATTGCCGTAGTGTGGATCTTCACGTCGATTTACTGCATGCTCTGGTTTTTCCTGGTTGATATACACGTTAACAAGACCCAGCAGGTGGAATGTGGCTACAAAGTATCCCGTAACCTCTACCTGCCCATATACCTGACGGACTTTGCTATTTTCTATGTTATCCCGCTTTTCGTGGCCACCGTCCTGTACGGCCTGATTGGGAGGGTTCTGTTTCTCAGCCCCATACCCCATCATCCTGAAAGCACTACCGACCGTTGGAGGGAAAAGAGTTCCAAGGAGAAAAATGGCTCCCAAGCAGACACCAACAAAACTGCTAACCGCCCCAGGCCCAAGGGGGCGCTCTCCTCCAGAAAACAGGTAATAGAGCAATACCACAAGCGTAAAACATGAGAAACATATATAACACTATGAAGGTCTGACCCAAATTGGAAATGAGACATTACTGGTGTTACTATTTTGTAAAATATGATACTCTCTGTATATATTTTGCTGAAGACTGATGTTGTATATATACATACTTGGCTTAGCACTCCCCCTTTCTGTCCATACATAAAATGAAAATTAATGCCATGGTGCAATCCCACGTTGAAAATATATAGTATTGAAAAAAGAGATGCACTCTGCGGTCTTCAATATGGGAAGTGGTATTCTATTCCATATACATGTTTACATGTATCCGATCGACGTTTGGTGAGACATTGGTGAGTACACTTACAAATTTATTATATATAGATTAATATTGGGGTAACACATTGATCTTGAGGAAGACCCGAACGGGTCGAAACGTTCATCGGATACATGTAAACCTGTATATAGATTAAAATACCACTTCACTTATCAAAGACCGCAGAGTGCATCTCTTTTTTCAATACTATATATATTCATTTATTATATTCCAATATGTATAGGTTTGTGAAAGAAATGTAATAATACTATTTGTACCTCTTTAAGAGAGTGCACAAACTAAAGATCGTGTTACATAAAATCAGTCATAAATGGGACAATTCTAGCCAAAATAGGACAATCATGTTCGCATGCAGGTTTGAGGGCACAGTATGAGGTCACATTATTTTTGGGGTACCAGATTACAGGTTACATGACCCAGTGGCAGCTAACTTTCTCTGTAAAGCAATCTTACGCTAAATCAGTACAATTATAGCTGTTCCAGATTGATATATTCTTGGGGTGATTACCTGCACCCAGTAAATAGCCTGGGGTGTATCCATGGCCCCTATTTCCCCCAGTTCGTACATCCATGCACAGCACTTTATAAAGCTATCTCCCGGTACACATGGCCAGTGCAGAATCTTGACTCACATTACTTTAACAAAGATGTTAATTTCGTGTAGGTTAAAGATCCTTATCTCTCATTATTTCCAAAGTTCACAGGTTGAATATTTCTCTGAAGGAATCTGTGCTCAGTACTAGCTTGCATTTTTTGTATAATTAATATATTATCTTTTGCCTGAAAAATACCGACATATTCTTTGCGTGATTATAATTAAAATATTCTGTTTTTTTGTTTTTTTTATAAAATGGAAACCTATCACCCTTGCATAATGATAATTCATTTCCTCCTGTGGGATTTATTATATTTTAAATTACAAATTTTACATCAGAATATACTATATATACACTGAAAGAAATGTGACTGTTTTTCAGTTCACTCCAATTCCCACTTAGTGAATAAGCCCTTCATACCTTGATACAGTAACACAAAGTTTAAGGTATTTGCATCTTTAAAAAACCCCAAAACAATCTAAGTACCAGAACCACTGCAGTATACTGTAGTGACAATGGTGTCAGGAGTGCCTGGCACCCTCCCCAATGTAAGTAATCAATACACATTCTAATGGTCTACATGGGGTGCAACATGCGCCACTTCCTGCTTCAATGACAGCGGAACCGCTCTGTTTAACCTAAGTGCAGGCCTGTCTTATTGCCTGAGAACAATCAGCTGACACTCTCAGCTAATGAGCTGGACCTGCCCTGAGGTTAGCGCAGGAGAGCTAACAGAATCTTCGAACAGGAGCTTCAGACTCTGAGCACCAGGAGAGAAGGGGAGGGGCAGCGCATGGTGGACTGGGTACCATAACCACTATGGTGCTATGTGCGCACAGACATGCACAGTACATAGTACTTACAGTGTCTCTTTAAATCAGCTACAAAAGGTTATTATTTGCACAAGAGCCTTCCATTTCTTTAGGCGCTCCGTACATGTAAAGCAATTTAAGTTTGTAGAATATGCCTGCGAAATTATGGGGTTTTAGTGTTTATATGAGATGTGTGATTGGCAAAGTGCAAGAGAAATATATGATGTCGCGTCGAGTGCTTTGTCAATCACAGCGTCTGGCTTAGAACATCAACTACTAATTTGCACTGGATAACCAAATGGGGCCAACTTAAAATGTCGTCCAATTTCCATAGCAACATAACTATACTGCAAGCAGTATTCTGAATATTACTGTACTATAAAAGACAAACTACTATGTGAAGACACTTCTAAAGGTTGGATAGGCTGTGTCTGTGGCAATAGGTACATGAAGGGGTTTACACATTAAATGCTGAATTGTAGAGACTTGAAAACTGAATTGGAAAATGTAGACTAAAATAACTACGCTCTGACTACAACTCACATGGAGAATTATGCAAAATCGGTTATTTTGGCCTTAAAATCTGTCCATTTCTATTTTAATTTGCTGCTATATGGTGTTTACTGAACAAACTCTAAGTCTACTGCCTGGAGATTTAGGATTAAAAAGGAGGTAATACGTAAATTTGGCTAACCGCCTAAAGAAAGGATAAGGAAATTCCAGTATAGAGGGCATAGGCATGCGCACGGGGCGTGCCGGGTGTGCCTGGGCACACCCTAATCCCCGCGGCACGCCTATGGAGTGAGCCTGGCAGGGGAGATCTCAGAAAGGATCCCCACCTCCACTGGACCACCAAGGAAGGCAGCAGCAGGATACCCCTCCCTACAAAAGGTAAGAAGGGAGGGGGGATATTAAGTAATCTGCCCCCACCTCCACTGGACCACCAGGGAAGGCAGCAAGGAACAAGAATCCCCCCTTCCTACATAAAGTAAGAAGGGAGGGGGGATATTAAGTAATGTACCCCCACCTCCAACCCCTACAATCACCCACACACATGCAGCACCCACACACATACAGCACCCACAGACGTACACAGCACCTACACACATACAGCACCCACAGACATACACAGCACCTACACACATACAGCACCCACACACATACAGCACCCACACACATACACAGCACATACACACAAACAGCACCCACACATATACAGCACCCACACACATACACAGCACCTACACACATACAGCACCCACACACATACAGCACCCACACACATACACAGCACCCACACACATACAACACCCACAGACATACATAGCACCTACACACATACACACACACGCATACAGCACCCACACATACAGCACCCACAGACATACACAGCACCTACACACATACAGCACCCACACACATACACAGCACCAACACACATACAGCACCCACACACATACACAGCATCAACACACATACACAGCCCACAGACATACACAGCACCTACAGACATACACAGCACCAACACACATACAGCACCCACAGGCATACACAGTACCTACACACATACAGCACTAACAGACATACACAGCACCTACACACATACAGCACCTACACACATAAAGCACCCACAGACATACACAGCACCTACACACATACAGCACCCACAGACATACACAGCACCTACACACATACAGTACCCACACACATACAGCACCCACACACATACAGCACCCACAGACATACACAGCACCCACACACATACAGCACCCACACACATACACAGCACCAGCACACATACAGCACCCACACACACATACAGCACCCTTACAAACACGCACAGCACCCTCACAAACACACACAGCAACCTTACACACAGCACACAAACAGCACCCTCACACGCAGCACACAAACAGCACCCTCTCACACACACAGCACACTAACAGTACCCTCACAAACACAAACAGGACCCTAACAAACACACACACGGCACACTACCAATACCCTCACACACAAACAGCACCCTCACACACAGTACATTATCAGCACCCTCACAAGCGCGCACACACAAACACCCTCACCCACATAGTACACTACCAGCACCCTCACACACACATCACACTAACAGCACCCTCACACAGCACACACACAGCAGTGTATGTGTGTGTGTATATATGTGTATATATATATATACATATATATATGCGGCGTGTGCTTGTGCTTTAGGGTGCCTATGATAGATGGTATATGGTGCCAGGTAGATTGTCCTGCATATTCTCTACTGCCTCTAACATGTGTTTGAGGTGCTCACAAGAGACAGGCATAATGCTCCATACCTGTTGGACGCACACAGCCATTAAGTCATTTTGGAGCATAGTGGAAAACATTGCGTCTAAAGCACTAGGAACAGACACAACACTCACCCCTGAACTATGCATTTTATTTATATCACAAACACTTTCAGAGATCGGCTGCAGTTCTACTTTTTCATATATTTGTAGCAGCGAACCTTTTGATAGCTGGGTCATGGAAGTCCACTGATACACCAACATCTTATCAAATAAAAAAATAGAGTTGGGTGAATTACGGAGGGTGCGCTAGAATGGGGAAGTACTCACAGAGACCACACTAATGGTAGAAATATTTTAGAGCATGTAAGTGAGAGCCAAAAGCATTGAGGAGGACTATTGGCACATTATAGAAACCAATAGAGAGAGAATTACCCCTATTTCATGAGGTCGACCGGCACTGCTACTTAAGGGTTATCACCCAATTCTGTAAAATTGCTGAGCCGATGTATATAGGTGACTAAAAATGAACCATAGGATGAGAGCCTACAGATATTTTCATGTAAAATAGGACGCATGTAAATACTGAGCATATCAATTTGTGTATTGATCTATTCAGCAGAGCGTATTGGTATCTGTCGATTGATTCTGTTAACCCACCGATATCATTGTGAACTCCCTCCTTTCTCTTTTTTTCTCTACCCCCAAATTACCTTTGACTCATTAAAAATTGTCAAGTTGAAAAAATAAAAGAAGCTAAATAAATGGCTAATAAAGGAAAACTATAGTGTTAGAATTCAAACATGTGCTGCTAATGCTCTAGTGCCCTATTTGTTGGTTTGTTTAGGAACTTCCATTTCCAGTAAAAAAAACATAGAAAAAAGGACTTTACTTCCGTGCCAAGACTCCCTCGGTGCTGCTGACCCTCCAACTGTTGCGCATGTGCCGTGAGCACCCCACGCAACCAAAGCCGTCACACAGGAAAAGCATTGATTTCACACTTCCTGTGAGCTTCCAAGTCATGTGACCCAGTTTTACTCAGTCAGTGAAGGCACCTCTAGTGGCTGTCAGTGTTAAAGCCACTAGTGGGGTGTTGAACCCTGTAAAGTAAACATTGCAGTGTCTAAAAATTTTAAATAAAATGTTCTACATTGCAGGGTTCAAACTAAAGGATCACTGCATCCTGACCACTTCATTAAGATGAAACGGTCCTTTAATAGTTATATAACAATATTGATAATAATTTGCTGCCACTATATGCTGTTGTGCTATATAATAAGTAAATTAAACATGCAACAAAGTGTGTCCAAAGATTTTTGGTTTTGACTTGCCCCCGCCCTTTTCTCCTTCCCCCTTCCCCCTTTTTCCAGTTGTACTTTTTGTTTGTGTTACAATAATTATAAAATTGAGACCTGTATAGGTAGCAGCTTACACTATAAAGGGGGTGGTGGTACATAAAAATGTTATATACGAAATATATAATATAAAATCTAAAACGGCATCAAAGGGTTTATTCATTAAAGACAAAATTGTAGTGAATTGATGGCCAAATTGGAAAACTTAATAAAAAAATAAAAAATAGCTGATTTGTAAACTTTATCCAATTCAGCTACAGTCACAGCTTGGTTATGCCTTATGCAAAACCTAAGTTTTCTGATTCTATTTTTTTAATTAATTGGATTATTGTTGGGAATTCCAAGTGAATTTTATATTTATTGGATGAACTCCTGATTGAGTTTGCTGGTCTAAACAGACTAGGAATTATCAGACATTTCTTCTTTCAAAGGAAACTATCGTGCTAGGAATACATATAGTGTGCTCCCTTGCACCACCCACTCCTCCCACTGGTTCCAGCGCCGAAGTCTCTCGGTACAAGGTCAGGCTCTGCCTCTGCCTCTGCCCCATCTCTACTGATGCCAACCGACGGCGTAAGGGGGGAGCTAATGCACATGTGCTTTCAATTACAATTGCAGGTTTAAACTGACAGGGACACTGCACCCAGACTACTTTAATGAGCTGAAGTGGTCTGGGTGCCTATAGTGTCCCTTTAATGAACTTTTGCACATTAATCAAATTCCCAGTTCCGAGCTTATTGTTATTGATTATATATTGATTGTTTTTTCTGATCTACGTAATGTGTTGCAACATATAATAATACTTCCCTTAACGACCCATTCAGTAAAATCGCATTAGTAATGCAGAAACTGAATTCGTTTACTGAGGTCATTGAAGTGTCGATGTGATCCCCTAGGGCTGTATTATGCCTTTAACATGCATCGTACATGTTTGCTGACTTGGGTAATAACTAGCATTCTTTCCCGGAGAGATTATGAATGGAAGATATTTGGGTTTCACTAAACTTAGGAGCATTGTCTGTGTATTATAATTATAAAACATCCACATGGATACATTGCTATAGATCATTATAAAATAAGTTATTTGGTTGTGAAATGACATCATTTGGTCAGGGTGATTTACTAAGATGTGAATTGTCAGGAGATAAAAGTCAATGTAAAATGTCACTGCGTTGTTTAGATCACTGACAGCCCCACAGACAGCTGTGAATGACAATCTGTCAGACCTGATTTGCTGACTGCTATTAAATTGACTAAATTGGCCGTATAACTTTCAGGAAATGATGGAAACCATGTAAATATATTTTAATAATCCGGGCTAATAAATTAATCTTTTATGAGTTATTTTGTTTTAAAATTTCCCCTCATTTTAAAACATTTTATTTGTACTTAGTCTTTTGCTCAGTGTATCTGTAAAGAATTATCAGAATGTGTGTATGTGTGTATATGTGTGTGTGTGTATATATATATATATATTCTATATGTGCACTTAGACTTAAAGCTTTAATTTACGGTGGACCAAACGCATCCTCACATGCCTCAGTCACTAAGAGGTTAAAGAATACTGACCTTTTCAAGTAATCTCACACCCTACCCCCACCCCTCCCTCCAGTGCTGTACATGTCATTGGGCAATATGATATTATAGAGGGACGTGTATTTAATAGCATAGGGTTAACAGCTGCATGAAAAATGCTTTTATAGTAGTGAATTTGTTTCGTAGAGCACTTAGCATCCATTTGGTGGTGCCAGTAAGAGGTATTGCAGCTGCGTACCTCCCTTGAGAACGCTACCTGTGATCGTACTTTGCTCTCTCAGTGGGCCAACGTCCGCAATTACATGGGAATGGGTGGGATTCGGAGACTACAGATCTGTCTGCTCCCCTCATATCCAGAAACACAAGCTAAAACTGACGGGGAACTATTGGGAAAAACTCTATATCATTATGTTGTAGCACATATTAATATATGTTATCCCGCAAAGGTATAACGGCCATATACATATAAAAACATATAAAATATATTAGGGATTATATTACCGCCTCCGGATTCTCTATTGTCAGCAAGGGTCAAGGTGACAGTAATCCAAACAGTTAGACCAACTACTGTCTGTACAATAATCAGGGAACACGGCAGCTCACACTGGAGGGAACATGGCAGCTCACACTGGAGGGAACATAGCAGCTCTCACTGGAGGGAACACAGGAGGGAACACGGCAGCTCACACTGGAGGGAACATGGCAGCTCACACTGGAGGGAACACAGGAGGGAACATGGCAGCTCACACTGGAGGCAACACAGGAGGGAACATGGCAGCTCTCACTGGAGGGAACATGGCAGCTCACACTGGAGGCAACACAGGAGGGAACATGGCAGCTCTCACTGGAGGGAACATGGCAGCTCTCACTGGAGGGAACATGGCAGCTCACACTGGAGGGAACACGGCAGTTCACACTGGAGGAAACATGACAGCTCAAAGTGGACGTAACATGGGAGGGAACATGGCAGCTTACATTAGAGGGAACACGGGAGGGAACACTGAAGGAAACACGGCAGCTCACAGTGGAGGTAGCATGGGAGGTAACATGGCAGCTTACATTAGAGGGAACACGGGAGGGAACACTGAAGGAAACACGGCAGCTCACAGTGGAGGTAACATGGGAGGGAACATGGCAGCTTACATTAGAGGGGACACGGGAGGGAACACTGGAGGGAATACGGCAGCTCACGCTGGAGGGAATACTATGTAAAGGGGACAGAATTGCAGAGGAGGGTGTACCACTGATACAATGTGTGTCGTTAGTGGTTGGAAAGTAACATTTCTCCATGTTGGTGTCTCAAGTAAGAGTGATTTGCAAAGTCCTGTTTGATGTTCAAGGAGTTAAACGTCAGAGTCCTCCTGTCACTCTAGCTCTCCGTGCCCTGACGCGTGTCGCAGGGAGCAGTGGCCAGCGCACAGGCACTGAACGCTGGGACCACACAAATCAGTTTTCCTATCAGTGCTCCAGAAATCCATTAGCTATTTTTTCCTCTTCTCTGACTACTGCTGTATTGTTTATTAAAAGCAGAAATAAGACACTCTCGCTGGTAGTGTTGCGTTCAAGTGGATATGGCCTGCTGTGAGATTGGATTGTTTTACACTTTAATACCTGCACTTTTATGAATACAATTACAGCAGGAAAGGACTGCAACAGCTGTGCTTTCTCCTTAATTCTCTAAGAAGAAAAAGGAGTTCAGCAAGTCGAGGTCATAAAAGAAAAATATGCCGTTATTACGAAGCATACTGCGCCAGAAATCATGTTATCTATTTATATATTGATATTCCTACTGAGTTTGCATGCAGTAGTTCTTATTTTTCTAGCAGGTTCCTACATATGAAATATATCCGAAATTCCTGCAGTTTATCAGGAAGAGTGAGTATGCTGCGTACCAGACTTGGGGATATTTGTAGGTTTATGTGTCCCCATATGACTATTCTTCTGGGGACGGGAGGGGTGTGTGTCGCACCTGGGCAGGGAACCATATGGAGGAGGCCAATGCTAGCCTCGGAGACCCATCGACAGGTTTAAAAGAGGAGCCGTCATTTCCAATTATTTGTAATAATTCATTTACTTATCCTGTTTACTTAAAGGATAACACAAAAAAACATAACCATTACAACTCACTGATGTGGGGATGGTGCCAGGAGTTCCCTAATGCCCACCTCACCCCAAATTAGCAATTGTGAATAATCAAACTGTTTTAGAATAGTTTAGCTTCTCACCCAGGGTTCCGCATTCCTAAACATCTTGATTAGTTATAATGGTAGGGGGGTGGGGGAGAGGGGTTCTGGAAACTTCTGGCACCATAAGTATTGCATCATGCTGTTGTGGTTATAGTGTTTTGAGTTCTCCTTAACCCCTTAAGGACCAAACTTCTGGAATAAAAGGGAATCATGACATGTCACACGTCATGTGTCCTTAAGGGGTCAAAGGGCTAAAGGGCTAAATAACAGAGTTACAGCTGAATTGAAGGCATTTTTGAAAGTTGTTAAATTTAGACTCTCAAGTACTGTAGACTCACAGTGAATGAGCCCATGGCTGTCTTCTGGTTACTGGTCTTTTTGGATTACAACCCGTGCTTTAGTTTTAAAAAAGCTGTGTTTAATACAGCGTACCATTGCCACAGTACTCACAGAAATGCAGAATGAAGTCTGAAACACAATGCCTGTCTGTGCTTATAACGGATTCCCCATACTACCGAGTATAACTGCGGCCACCCAGCCGAACAATTAGAACCCTCGATTATTGAGGTGTCAGGAGAGGTCAACATGGGGTTAACAAGCACAGAGGTGGTCCACAGTTCGTGAGTCTGTTCGGTTCCCGAACAGTACAAATAAACCCCATGAACCAAGTCTTTTTACAGGTCCTTTCCATGGCCTATAGTCCTGGGGCAGGAGGCTAGCTAGCAGGCTCCTCCAGGAGCTCGGGGTGAAAGGAAGTTTGTCACATTGCTCACTTGCATCTGAAGTTAGGAACTCTGGGAATGTTGTGGAAACAGGAAAAAAAAAGTCCAACTTGAGACGTGTCGGTGATGCACAAATATGTTTTCAGTTAATACTGTTCTATTAACCATAAATAATTGCATCTCTACATGACTGAGTTCCTGAAAAATGACTGGCCAACAGTTTAAGAACTGGCTTCAAATAGACTTGTTAATTACTGAGCCGTATTCCTCTGCTAGATGTTGTATGTGATCATGCATGCAATAATATCTACAGACTCCTTAAAGTGGTTTAAGATTTATAATGCAGATTATGGATCAGACACATGACCTTAGTGATAGGTAGATCAAGGCTCTGTAAATAGTGAGCTGATCCCTTCAAATAAGTTCACAGAAGTTCAGTCTGATCACAGAATGGCTAATCACATCTTTAGGTAAATCACTCAGTGACAAACGAAGTACCCGTCACCCCGAGAGTCCTTATTATCTTATAAGTAATCTTTAATAGTGGTTAAACAAACAAACAGGCATATTCCTAGTTAAATTGCCTTTCCTACACCCTTATTTACTAAATACATCCAATTTTTGTAAATAATACTATTAATTGCAATAAGCTAAAAAAATTCCATAGAAATATTACTTTCCAAATGACCTGGGTGGTTCAGTCCCAAACTTGTGCCCCTGTTCCACCCTCCCTCTTTCTTGAGAAAGAGTAGCGCATTGCGTTCGGCAATAACAAGTTGAAACAATAAAGACATAGAAGCAGGTACTTCATGTAGGAAAAGATTACACATTAGTAATAGTGAGACATGGAATAAATTATCGTCATAGAGGAATAAGGAACTCAGGTTCCGAGATTGACGGAATGGTTTTAATGGCTTTGTGATTTTCTTTATAATAAATAACATTAAGTAGATTTCCTTTGAGCAAACTGTTCATGTCCTTCAACCTGCTCATATTTGTATATTTGAATGGAATAGCAATTATAAAGATTAATTTATTTTTTTTGCTTGAATTATTGTTTGTTGGCACAATATGTCAGAAAGATGTTTGTTTTTTATGTTGAATATTGCAAAATACCTTTTCAATAATAAAAACAAATATGTGAAAAGAAAGATGTTTGCCGATGCCTCACAATAGGACTATTCTATGGCAAAATGTTCTTCGGCAAATGGAAGGCAGAGTGAGCCCCTTTCCCATCAGATTCACATACAAATATGACCCTATTAACTATCCCTACTCATACTATACCATGCAGATAAATTATTCAAAATGATTTCTCACTTTTTATTAAAGGGACCTTCCAGGCTCCTAGAGCACTTCTACTTGCTTTTTTTTTTTTTAAAACACTAACCTTGTTACAACTCCCCCCCTCCCTCTCCAACTGTCAATCAGATATCAGGTCCAGTTACTTCCTGGTTTGGTTAGCTCAGTGGAGACAAACTCAAGAGGCAGCAAAAACCCAGAGCACCTGCCTTGCAGAGACTTCTCATAGAGCTGCATTGGGAAGTCTGTGATTGGACAGTCACAGAAAGTCTGGGAGGGGTTAGAAGGGAAGGGCTTATAAAGGCTTAAGATAAGATCTGCAGCTTTTGCAAACAATTTTTAGCTATACCACCAATGACAAATGCATAGTTAAATTAATGCATGTTTTAATTGGGGGTATATTTGCTAAACTGAAATTTTTCAAAAAAAATGTGTTATTTCCCACTAGTGCGTGTTTTAGTATTATCCCCAAATACCGGTATACAGATAGAGTTATGCATAAGCCATGGACTATTGGAAGCACCGGAGTACTGGTTTGAGAATTGCTGTTGTACAATATTTATGTTATCAGTTCATTATCTTTCTCTTTCTTTTTACAGGTCACCAAGATGTTAGCAGTGGTGGTGATACTCTTTGCTCTTTTATGGATGCCCTATCGGACCTTAGTTCTAGTCAACTCCTTCATGAGTAACCCATACCTGGACGCTTGGTTCCTTTTGTTTTGCCGTATTTGCGTCTATGCCAACAGTGCCATCAATCCTGTGATTTATAATGTGATGTCCCAGAAGTTTCGCACCGCCTTCAAGAGACTGTGCAAGTGTGGACATGAAGACACCCAAAGGAGGAGTATGTACATGACCACTAATAGCTACAGCATGGTTCGAGATGCAAACACTGGAGCGGAGAAGAAAGACAAGGCTGTCCTACAGAAACCTGCGGTTCTAGCAAAACAGACCAGCATTGGAGGAATTGAAGGAGAACTTTACTACAGCGTCGTTTAACCTATTTCTTTGATCTACGTTGTGGTCTGTGTAACATTGCAAATGTGTTGCTGTTAAGTGGGAACATTCCATTCCATCCGATGTAGCGAAGCCAAAATTTTTATGGCAAAATTGAAAAAAATGTCCAGTGGTTGTCTATTGTGTTCCCGTGCTATATTGCGCCAGGTTGGTCAATGCCACAGAAGTGGCAGGTGAAGTGGTTAATTGTTAAAGCTTTTTTTGTATCATTTTGTGTGCAGATAAGGCCACAATGATTAATCCCCAAAATTAGGAGATTATCTTCATTCAACCATCAAAGTGGAAGTCATTTATTTATTAAATTACAATATATGCCAAATCTTATTTTAAAATGGCTATTACAGCGCCAGATCTTTAAAGTATTGATGTTTGTTACCTGGCGACAAAATATATGGAGTTCACACAGGAGAGGATAAACCTACCATCACATGGCGTGTTAGTGTCTATGAATAGTAAATAATAATATAACTAACTGCGCCATTGACGTCACAAAAATGATTTTATTAAAAAAAGTTGTTGGCGTTGTTTATACCAGCAATAGCATGTATAAATTATATGTGAAAATTAACCATCACAATTTGAGTAATAAAAGCAAACCTGCCGTAAGTATTTTAAGGATTTGTACAATGGAGAACATTATTTAAAAAAATAAAAAGAAGAAAATATTCAGAAACTTGTTCAGTTTACATGATACGCAATTTTTTTTTTTGTCATTTATTTTTTTTGAGTGTATCGTGGCATACCCGGAATTTTAAAAGGCCTTCCTTCAGTGCAACAGTTACCAAAGTTTTGTTAAGTCCAGTTATAGGTGTTGAAGGCTATATACGTGAAGATCATAACTCGCTCATCTTTTGTCCTATGGAACAATCTTGAAGTTGCATCATAGCAGTATGGATATCACATGGTACAGAAGGAGCTGAGTCACAAATAAATCATACTACCATATTTTCATATTTAGAACAGTTTGACTCCTTATCTTGAGTCTGCGGGCACCGTTCCCTGCCTGCACTACTTCTTTTGAAGAGCTATACAGGGCTTAGCTCATTGGCTGAGATCAATCAGCTGATGCTCTCAGCCAATGTGCTAGTCTTGCACTGCTGGGCTTATATTAGTAAAGCTACTGCCAGCACAACCACTACAGAGAGCTGTAGTGGTTATGGTGTTTAAAGTATTTTTTTTAACATTTATTTATAGCTAAACTTTCAGCAGTAACACTCAACCGGATCTGATCGCCCACAAGGAAACTTGGTCAACCCCAACTATTTGGTCTTAAGTTTTGCTCTTCGGTGGTAAATCTTCGTCAACTCACTATTTAGTGAATAATTCCCTTGCACCATAGCCCCATTGTTGTAATAAAACAGCTTGCTGATCTTGACAATTGTATGACAGTATTATTTTGCGGACTCAAAATGCGTTGTGTTTTGAAGTTAACATTCACCACACAGCTCAAAAAGTGTCCATTTAATACAAAAAAAAACCCAGCAATGCAATGATAATAATGAGTTGAAATCTCAAAGCTCTGTTGACCTCTGCTTGTAAATCTGCACCCTTTAAAGATCTGTGTGTGTAGGTATTTTCTGTGCTATGTGTCCTGATGTGATCCAGTGATTACATTATCTGAACACAAGTGTTTTAAGAAATTAAAAAAATAAAATAAAATGTTTTCTCTGAGATTAAAGTCCTACTCTGTTTATTTTGGTGAGATAGTACTGGATTTATAACAAAAATTGAATAATGCATGATCTCGGTGTGTATAACAGGTTATTGTGACAGTACGACACTGGACAAAGAGGTACGTTTAGAACTTTTTCAATTTCTAAAGCTGGAAGAGAACAAAATAGCTAATGAAAAAAACCAAACCTAATTGTATCATAAATCAAAACACGATGACTGATAAAAGCATAGTGTGCACAACCAGAGATGGTTTGATAAAAAAATTCTATTATACAAGAACAGTCTTTTGTCTGTTGTGTTTATTGCTTTTTCTTTCTTTTTCTTTCTATACCTCTGCAGCAAAAACATTAGTCTGTGTATTGACTTTTTTTTTTATATGTAGTTACTATAGTTACCATTTTGTATTTCTTCAAATATGTGATATGTAAAATATAACTGAAATAAATGACCAGTGTTAAATGGAAAATGAATCCTAAATGGTTGTATGTGTTTTTTGTTTGCTGTTTTGTTTTAGATAATCCCAGGTAATGTGTTTTTTTATGATAACAAAAACATTTCTATCTCGGAGTATAACCCTATCACGCAGCGTTTAGGATCACAAGGAACGGACTAAGGAAATATAAACATCTTACCGGGCCTTAGAGTGGCCGGACTTAGCGTTTTCGAAGTACAAGCCGAGGTCAGGGTAACGGAGAGACAGCAAAAACAAGAACTAGCCAGAGTTAGGTACACAGTAATAATCAGAAGAGCAAAAAAAGTAGGCAAAGGGTAAAGAGAAACTCAGGAGAGTCAGGAACCAAAGCCAAGGTCAACACCAGAATACAATATAACAAGGAACCTAAAGGTTACTGGGAACAGAAACCACAATAGGGCACAGAATCTAGGGCTAGGTACGTTTAAATATGTTTATTGTTAATTTGATTGGTCCACGTCATGCCTGCGCCCCAAAACGTGCATGAATGGGGGCGCCGAAATGACATGGGCTAGTGGGAGCCGAGTGCAAGGTTAGGCTCCCATTTCCCCTTTAAGAATTTGCTTGTGACACGAGCAGCGTTCCCAATACTTTACGGGCCGCACGCCCGATCAGACTATTCGGTGTGCACGGCCTGCCAGGAGCCATGGGTTGTTCGAGCAGCATGCGGTTTGTCTGTAGGCAGGACCCCTGCTGGAATGCAGACCTGGTAAGTACTGTTACAACTTCAAATCCCATAGCTATAGTAATGACAGTGCTAGGTATCTGTTCATGCAAAATTACATTTAAAATTTTTGCTGTTACTTAACTTTCTATTCAATCTCTGGGAACCAGATGCCACTCTCTCCTCTCTGACATAATTTAGGGAAACATCACTTCCTTGTTAAGCCATACAAGTACTTGTACAGTGTGAGTATGTACTACCTGTTTGCCTCCACCACTTATAGGATCATTGCAGTAAGTGCAAAAACTTCACACAATTCCCTGCCAGGCTCAAAGAGTTGCTCAATCAGACGGGCAGTTGAAGTGCTAACTGCAGAGCTCATGGTGTAAGCAAATTCTAATGCTACTAAGTAGGAAAACCCATTTACTCTACAAAAAAGTAGGAGTATTAAATCTAAAACCTATATCCATCCTATCATAAAACATTAACCTATGATACAGCTGCTATTCTCATCTAGAGATCAAATCCTATCGAGCTCTTCTTTTTTGTCCCGGTAGCTAACTGGCATTGGAGCAAGGTTGGGGCCTACTTATCCCCATACACAAACAGCAGTAGGAACCTTCATTCCGATCACAGTGGACAACTCACTCAGACACTAGTTTTGAAAGGGCATACTCCAGATTCTGCACTCATGGGACACATATTCTAGAAACCAAATGTGACGGCTCCTGCATAAACCATGGATATCGGCACTGCATTACAAAGACAGGCGCACACCAAAATGGCCAACTGTGTAGGTCATGAGGCCTGTAACATGATCTCTGGTGTCAACAGACCGGATGCTTTACAATCACCCCAAACTCAGGGGTTATCATGGCTCCACCAGGAGCTCCAGAGGGTTCCAAACTAGTTACTAAACAGGACATTCAAAACTTGTTCATAGACATTCTGAAGTTATTTGCTGCTTGTGACAAACCCTCATTACCCTGGACGTTTGCCACAAATTCCTGGAGGAGTGTGGAAGCTAGCCTTCTGCTCACCGACTATGGGCCATATATCTTGTGCCAAACTTAATACTTTTCCCTTCTGTTCACAAGAACTTTCCCTGGTTTGTTTTATATAGTTCCCGAACAGAAACACTTTCCCTGCGATCGGTAGACAAATCTACCGAACACCGACCACTCCCCCTTGGCTCATTAACTACAAAGAAACCACAGACTTAAGTGCTCTCTCTGTGTGGCTGCCGTTCGTATAACTGAACGCCATGTGCTGGAGAAAACGGTGGCCATCTTGTTGCACGAATGCAGGCAGCGGGACCTGGTCGAGTGTCTGGAACTACAAGTCGGACAGTCAACAGCACGAACACTGGTGAAAATATATGAACGCCTGGTTCTTTCAGCGATAAGTCAGGAGAGCGCTGTTCGGTAGGTTTGTTCGCACGAACAAGGCGAACAATTGCTACCTATGAGCCAGGGAAACCATTCACCTTTGTGTTCGGTTTGGAACTCCCAAAATTTACCGTCCGCTATCACTAAAACTATGGAACTAATTTGGGCAGACACCTCATGAGCGGTCGGTCAAAACTTTACCCCAGTGGCGATTCAACTGTATTTGTGGGATCTGGGCGCGATTTGGACAACTTGGGCACTCAGATCCAGGCTATCCGGGGATATCATATTTGTGGGGATTCCTATATGTTTATGATGTATTTTCATGTGTTTTAAAATGTTATGTCTTTTACGCCTAGTCATGCTTACACTGGAAATTGTAACCATTTTGTGGGAGCGTTCTGGGCATGTGTTTTTTCTGCCTCCTGATTTTGTATATAAGTGGGCCAGTTGGCCAGATTAAAGACATTCGTTTCTACCCTTTATCAAGTCTAGGCTGATGTTTTGGGAATTGGGAGCTATAATCACTGCTTTACTGGGGATTTGGGAGAACTACAGTGGATATAGTCAGTCGAAGTATAGAGGATCCGTTACACTGCAGATATAGCAGTTGTTAAAACAGGGATCAAAGCAGTTACTGATCATGTCAGAGCCTTAGATGAGGACATCTTGGACTTACGCAATGGTATGGGGTATGTCCTATCTAGGGGTTCAATTGACTAAATCCCTCCAAACAATTCCAACAGAAAACAACTATCCATTGCTACACAAGATAAAAACCTCA